ATCTTATTGAGTTTTAGATTTAATACCAAAGGGACATTCCATGAAAGTAAAAAGAAATTGGATTTTATCAAAATTCAAAATTTACATTCTGAAAAAACTGTTGATAGAACAAAACAAAACATGGACTGAAAAATATTTGAAAACCACATATCTGACAGTCCTAAATGCTGGCAAGGATGCAACAGGAACTCAAATTCATTGTGGTATGAATGTAAAATGATACAGCCATTTTGGAAGAGAGTTTGGCAGTTTCTTTGAAAGGGACTTAACATAGATTCAACATACGTCTCAGCAATTATGCTACTAGGTTTAGCCAACTGTTTGAATACACAAAAACCTGTATATAAGTACTTATGGAAACTTTATTCAAAATTACCAAACACTGGGAAAGAAAGAAGAACCAGGTGGTCAGAGGATCCTGGGATAGAATGTAGACTAAGATATTTATTTGTCCCATTATTTAATCTAATGAACAGAAGATAAAAATTAATCACACAATAAAGGAAGTGGGTGTCAAAATTTTTTTCAAATCAAAGTTAGGGCACAGGGTAGAAAGATGATGATTTTGGCCAATTTCACCTAACTTTTCCTTTTAAACATTAAAATAAGTATTGAAAAAAGATAGAGCATAAAAAATCTGAGAATCTTTCACTAATATCACACAGTTTAGCGATAACTTAAGAAAACAATAAATTGAGTATACAGCCCAGAAAAAAGTAAAGGAAATCCTCCTGAAGATAATTTTGCATTGCTGAAGAATTTTTACAGAGGAAGCAAGAATTTTCAAGACTGGCTGCAGAGTTCCTCTCAACAGGTGGAAGAAATAAAAAATAATACTTCAGAAGCAAGATATGTACAAGACCATATAGAGTGAACCTTTGGTGCTAAAAAACAGGTAAGAAGCAGACAGAATGTGCAACACAAGTTGCATACAATTCCCTGGGAAGTCTTTCAAACCTCTAGTCATCTCCCACCCATTGTTCTAGGAAGGGAGCCAAAAGGCAGTCTCTAGTCAGCAGGTCAAAGAATGCAAATATATTTCAAATATTAAGAAATATTTATACATGAAAATTCACTTCTACCAAATAAGAACAAAGAACACAATTTAAGCATGACCAAGATGAAATGACCTATCAATAAGAATACAACAAAAACACGAGAAAATATTTTATAAGAGATAAAAATCATAATATGAAATATGACAAAAAAGAACATTTTCCTATCAATATACTAGTGGAATTTTTAGAAAAATATTTATTTATTTATACAAGAACGGGGGTAAAGGCCAGAGGCACGGGAGGGTGAGAGGATTCACCAGAGACAGAGCGGGGAGCAGAATAGGCAGACTGACTGAAATACACTGCTGAGGTGAGCAGCGGGTGAGATAGGAGAGGTCTACCCCACCGTGTGGGTTTCTCCCTGGTGGCCGGGAATCGAATCTGTGCTACAGAGGCTGCGGACAGCTTCACAGCGCTGCACTCAACCCGCTGCGCCACCAGGGAAGTCCACTAGTAGAATTTTTTGAAGAACATGAATTCAATATATCAAAGTTAAAAAAATATCCTAAAACAAAAGCATAAATGAAAAGGGAAAAAGAAAAGTTAAGGAAACAAGTGTTGAGAACTATAAACAAATAAATCAAATTTAATAAATCAACTAGAAAGAACAGATAAGGAAATAGGGACAACTCAACTGGAATTACTGAAATAAAGAAAAGGCTTGAAATTATAACAGTGAATTAGAGGAAAAGACAAGGATTAAACTACTGAACAGAAAATAGGTAAGGACAAGTGTCACAATATAGGAATAACTGGAGTTTCTAAAATTAAAAAAAAAAAACTAACAAATAGGACAGAAAATTCACAAATCTAAAATTACCTCAAATAAAAGAACAAAATAGCTGTTAGAAAGGCAAGGTGAGGTTCCAAAAGCATTGTAAAGAAAATTCAATGAAATATCCTGATTGAGTTTTTCATCAAGAATAAAGAATACACCCTTCAGGTATCCAGGCAGAAAAACAAACCGCTTGTAAGTGAAGGGGGAAAAAATTCCAATTGACCTCAGACTTATTTTGAGCCAAACTCAATGTCAGAAGACAAGTGACAAACATTTTTACCATGTTTAGAATGAAAAAATACTTGATCCAATAATTTTATTCATAACCAATTTGAATATAAAGATAACACACAGCCAGTGTGGAGCATATTAATCAGAGAATAAAGTATTTATGAGCCCTTCCTCAAAAAAGTGTTTGAAAATGAAATTCAGTTACCCAGAGATTCCTACAAGAACTCAGGCATGATGGTAAAAATTCCAGTAATGATTACTCAGTCCTTTAAAAACTTTTTTCTTTAATTGAAGTAGCACTGAGTTACATTACATACGTTTCAGGTAAGCATCACTGCAAAGTGACTGTGTGTGTGTGTGTGTGCATGTGCGTGTGCGCGTGCGCGCGCTGGCTACATTATACTATATTAAGTCCACCACTAAAAGTCCAAGGGACAACAGAGTGGCACTTTGTCTATAGGATCTGACGCAAATTTTACAAATATTTTTAAGGTAGTATATATAAAGCAAAAGAAAAATGAGTTTAAAACTGATTATGTATTTCACAACTCAAAGCCAAGCGATACTGTTTAATAGAAACACTGCATTAAACTATACAATGATTCCAACACCTTATTGTTTTTCACAGTGGCTTTTCTTAAATTTAGAAGGATCATTAGAGTTTTAATATATGTTATTCAGAGAAAATACTATAAGAAGTTGAAAATTTTCTTCAGTTTCACTTCAGTTGATTATTAATTTCAGGTACTGCATGTAAAGCACTTGCGATGAGCCAAATACTTTTCAATATTTTATCCAGTAATAAAGCAACACACATAAAGTAGGCACTATTTATCCATTTTGTGGAAAAACAACTGAGGTCCAGACATTAAGTAACATAGCTAGAAACCTACAGAACCAAAACTCAAAGATAGATGTCTAGGTCTGGAACCATGCTCTTAACGTCTGTACTATAATGCCTCTGGAATTAAATAGCATGGAAAGAATGATTTGATTTTTATCAGATTTACTCGACATATGCTATGCATCCATTCAACCACCATCCACCCACCCTTCATGATTATAGTATATAAGTACTAAGCAAACAACTGTTTGGAATATTATTTCCCTATTGATACAGACACTTACTTGATAGCACTCTGTGAAATTTAGGCAATTTTTTTGTTCCTCTACATTTTTCAAAGAAGTTAATGCTGTAAAATAAATTTAACAGTCTTCCCCAAAAATGAAGCTATTAATCTAAACAAAAATAAGTCATGAAACAAGTGTTAGCAAGGACAGAAAAAAAAAAGGAACCCTAGTACACTGCAGGCATTAATGCAGACTGGCCCAGTCCCTATGGAAAAGAGTATGGAGGTTTCTCAAAATATTAAAAATAACAGACCACATGAGCCAGCAATACTACTTCTAGGTATCTAACCAAGAATATAAAAACACTAATTTGAAGGGATATATGCACTCCTACAGTCATTGCTATAGTATTTATCAATACAAGAGCCAAGTTATGGAAACAACCTAATTGCCCAGTGACAGATGAGTAAAGATATGGTGTGTGTGTATATATAAATATATAATATATATGAATATGATGGAATACTACTCATCTATTACAAAAAATGTGAAATTTTGCCACTTGTGACAACATGGATGGCTGGAACTAGAGGGCATTATGCTAAGCAGAATAAGTCAGGAGGAAAAAGACAAATACAGAATGATTTCACATATATGTGGAATATAGACAAACAAAGGAATAGACAAAACTAAGTCAAAACAAAGACTATATACCTAACATATAATTGAGGTTACCACAGGGGGGATGGGAGGAGTGGGTAGCAAATGGAAGAGGAGGCCGAGGCCCAACAGACGATGGAGGAGGACTGTGGGTGCCTTGCTGGTGGATGTGGTGTAGTAACATACATTTGAAAGGTTATGGTCCTATACCTCCTAATCATATACAGTATTATAACCCATTATTACCTCAATTAAAAAAATTAAGAAATCACATTATGTAATCACAACTTGAACACCATCCCATTAAGTATACTCTTTTTCCTCCCTAATTAACCACATTTAATTAGTACTTTACTGTAATCCTTCATAGAGCCTAATACAATGTTAGGCAGACAAAACATGCAATAGGTACATTATTAATAGTCATAAAATATTAGAGTATTACATTCCATCTATCTTACAAGTAACATATTTTTAGATGCTCTAGGAACCTTCTAGTCAAAATAGACTCCTTAGGTTAGCATCATTAGCAACATCTGGGACCTTGTTAGAAAAGGCAGAATCTCAGGCTCCACTCCAGACCTACTGAGGAAAAATCTTCATTTTAATAAGATTCCCTGAGCAATTAAAGTACATTCCAAAAATGGAAAAGTGCTTATTTCAGAGCAGTTTCTCTAAATGTCTATTTTTCACTTATTTCAGAATCACCTGGATTGCATATTAAAAATTTAGATTCTCAGGCTCCACCCTGCTTCAGGGGTCACTAAAGTTCAGGTGTCACTAAAGAACCAGAGCTAAAAAAAAGTAAAACGCAGTGTATACGAATGAGCATATTAAGCAGAGAGCAGTAAAAGAATCCAGACAGCAGAAATTTCAGTACAATGATAACAGAATAGGGAAGAACAGTAGAGTCACAAAGGAATGTGAAGCAAGCAAGACAATTAATTATGAAGCAGTAAAAAAAGAACTGGACTGAGAGGTTATGCATTTTTTTCCCTTTCTTTTCCTATGTTAGTACCTGTTAGCCCTGACATGCAAACTATTAGCATGCCAAAAGCTTTAGAAAAAAAGACTGTGGGACTATGGAATTTACTAATGTAATATATAAGAACCAACATTTTTTTTATTATGTAACCATCACACAAATGCATGCGCTTTATAAATATTCCTAATGCCAGGTACAGTTTTAAATATGTACATACGATTTTAGAGACATTTCCATATGCTTGGCTTGTGCAATTGCTTCATCTCTCTCCTTGTTGGCTAACTGCAATCGAGACATAACAGCTTCATCACGTTCCCTCTGTGCAAAATACACTTCTTCAACCAGAGCTATCAAAACACACATTATCCATTATTAATTAAAGAAAATAAGGGAGAAACGTGTACTTTTAGCAAAAATAATTTTACTCTCATATTCACTGAATTAGTATCAATTGGTGGAAAAAATATACTTGAAGCTGTTGCAAAACTGAGATACTATTATTTCACACCCATAAAAAAGCAGTATCATGAGTTTATGAAATAAAGGAAACTCACTAAATTGAAGATAAGTGAACATATTTTTATAACCAACTGCTGAGCAATTTGGCAACTGCTTATTACAATTGAAGATGTGCCTAGCCCATAACCTGGAAAATGTCCTATTTAGTGAGTAGTCTAAAGATAGTCTTACATATATGCACCAAGAAATATAAATGAATAATTATTGCAGCATGATATAACAGAAATATTTAGCAATAACCCAAATGTCCAATAACAGGAACAGGATAAATGTGTTACTCTACATTTAAGATGAAACACAGTTCAGCATCTGTAATGAATTAACTACAGACAAATGGATAAATCTCAAACATGAAAATTTAGAAAAGAACAGTAAGTTGCAAAGTAAAATAATTTGCTTATTATTCATGGACAGAAAATTAGTAATAACATTAAGATGAGTATGGAGATGTTAAACATCAAATTCAGTATATTAGATACCTCAGAAGGATGAGGGAAGAGAGGAAGATAATGGGATAGGGAAGAGCAAACTGGGGCAGGGCTAAGCTGGTTTAGCACTGTACATCTCCTAGGGACACCATTTATGTAGATTATAATACAAATGGCATTATCCACATTTGTGTAGTGCTACAAAGGGAACTTCGATGTTATCTGAAATTGTCGTTTCTTGAACATTGTTTTTATATGAAATCTTACACAACTGTTAAAATATTGCAATGTTACACAAAAAGAGGCACGAATATCTGAATCACTATACCAAATTTTAAATATACCATGAAGTCACAAAATAAACTTAGGAAGATGTCTGAAATGCCATTTTAGCTCATAAAACATGGGATCCAATTAAGATTTATCATACATTAATACAGTTAATGAAGATAGCTATTTTTGTATTACTTAAATAAGTGGTGGAAAAGAAACAAACCCTGAAAATAATATCACTATATCTTTTCAAAAGAGAATAAAATGGCAACGACAAAGCAAAAGCCAAAACCATTTCCAAGACGCTGAGCCTAAGTGAAGAAAAATAAATTAATTCATTTATCAAATATTCAGTAAGCTCCTATGAGCATCATCCATCCAGTTGCAAGGAATACGAATACCATTCTGGAGTATATATTCTGTAACAGGGAGAAAAGTAGAGAAAAACAGGCAAAAAATTAGGCAGGCAAACACATAGACAGATATAAATAATAGGTAGTACTTCAGGCTTTGAAGAAAAATAAGCCTGTGTGAGAGAAAGAGTGACTTGGCAGATGGGGAACAGCACAAACTATTTTAGGAAAGGTGGTCAGAAAAGATCTTTTTAAATCAATTATATTTAGCAAGTAAAGAAGGAGAAGCTATATTTATAATTATATATATATTTTCTTCTACTGTTTGGCCTACCTGAAATTATGTATTTGAAGGTAGAAAAATAGTGCACAAGCCCTTCAATTATCTGCACATCTTCAAGTATCAGAGGAACAGCAAAACCAATATGGCTGGAGCCCAGTGAGAGAGGTGACAGTTTGGAGAGATCACACTGGACCTCTGTAAGTCATCGATAGGACTTTAGGTATCAGCTAAACATGATGGTAACTATATCAGGGTTTTGAGCAAGGGGATGATAGCATCACATTGATGTTTAAAAATGAATTCCGGACTCTGGGTGAGGAATAGTCCATGGGGTAGAGCAAGCGTGGAAGCCGAGATCAGGAGATTATGTGAGTAGGCTAAGCAAGAATTCACACAATAATCCACATAAATGACCCACTCCCTGGAACTATAAGTTACTGAGAAATAAACATATATGCCATCCTAGACTTTTTTTTTTTAAAGATTTATTTATTTATACAAGAACCGGGGTACAGGCCTGATGTGTAAGAGTGTGAGAGGATTCACCAGAAACAGAGTGGGGAACAGAACAGGCAGATTGACTGAAACACACCGCTGAGGGGAGCAGCAGGAGAGACAGGAGAGGTCTGCTGCGCCATATGGGTTTCTCCCCGGAGGGCTGGGATTGAATCCGCACTGCAGAGGCTGTGGACAGCTTCACAGTATGGTGCTCAACTGCCTGCACCACCAGGGAGGCCCCATCCTAGACTTTTGATGTTATATTTGCACAACATGGATAGAAATAGAGGGGATTATGTCAAGTGAAATAAGTTGGAAGGACAGAGACATATACAAATACTGGATGATTTCACTCATGTGGAATATGAAGAAAGAAAGGAATAGACAAAACTAAATTGTAAAGAATCCTAAAAGTCTAACTGCAGAACTGAGACTACCAGAAGGGGAAGGTAACAAAGAGTGGGAAGGGAGCCCAGTGGAATATGGCAGAGGATTATTGTTTTGGTGGTGAGTGTGGGGTGGTAACAATGTGCTACTATGACCACATATCCACAAATATAAAACCTAATTAAATATATATAAAACCTTATTAAATATATATTGATTTATTAACATTAACATTATTGAATTCATGGTCAAGAGCACCACAACTCATGCCTGAACTCTCACATATTGCTGACAGGAATTTAAGATCATATAAGTGCAGTCTATCAGCTTCTTAAAAAATTAAACATAATCTGACCATAAGATTCAGTTATTCCACTAATAGATATTTATCCAATAGAAATTAAAGCACAAATATTCATAGCATCTTTATTTATAATAGGCAAAAACTAGAGACAACCCCAAAGTCTGAAAAAGATGAATTATATAACAAATTGGGCTGCAATGACCACATATCCACAAATATAAAACCTAATGCTTTTAATCAATAGTTCAGATAAGGTTAAGAAATTCTTGTTATGAACACAGATTTTAGAAGAACCAGTACACTTTTGTACACTTTTCATGGCTTTTTTTTAAAGGTAATACCTCCACTGCTATACAGCAATATTATTCTTCTACCATGTGTCAATTCATCATGCTATTTTGAAAGAAACTTCTGCCCATATGTGGTAACAATAATGATTTTAATTTTTCCTTTCTGATTGTATTCAATCTCCTTCAGTAAGGATATTCACAAAAACTCAGAAAAAGGAACATGGTATATTAGGAGGAATATGGACTTTATTTCAAATCCAAGGTGTTACACCAAATTAGGCAATTTCCTTTTTTCATTTCTTGAATTATTTAAGTCACCATTTAGTTGTATAAAATGGACATAATACTACTATTTGTGACTGTTAGGGAAAATTAAATAATAAATGACAACAGATTCTAAACACACACTAGTTTCATGCTACCACTACCACTACCACCATCGACCCACAGATTTACAATTTGATTTCTTTTCTACACATATTAAAAATGTGATTTGGATTACATACATTATTTGAAAATAATATTCAAAAGTCCTCATTTTTAATTGTTTATTTTTTATCGAAGTAACATTGGTTAACAACACTGTATATGGTTTAGAGATAAAGGTTCACACTTCTTCAGATGTATGTTATCACACCACACCTAACACCAAGTCATCCACAATCCTCCACCATAGTTGTCCACTGCCCCCTCTTTTTAACCTTTTTTGTTAAAGGAAAATTTAGTCAGAATCCATTCTATATTGTATAATGAACAGTACAGTAATATAGTATCAATTTTTAAATTTTTGCATTACAAAACACTTCAAATTTGTGGGTAAGGTAGAATGGACAAAATAATGCTAAATAATGATTTAATTACAGGTTAACATCTGTATCATATTGTTCTAAAATATTCTGGCATATCAAAAGGTTAAAGTATTAATTACTAAATTTATAATACCAGTAGGTTTCTTATCATTTCTGTAAAGTGTGACAAGATTTTTATAAAGTGACATTTAATGTAAACTGTGTTCCACTTTATATATAGAAACACTTGATCAAAGAGGTAAGGTTAGCAATATCAAGAGTTTTAATAATAAGCCTAGTTATCTCTACACTTAAGGGAAAATGTTTTACACGAGGGCTTCTTCTGGGTGATCGAGAAAAAAATTTTTCCTACTATAATGCTTCATCAATTCTAAAGATTATATAAATAATGTGTATATTTATAGGAGATTGGCTTCTGAGTATTCTAAGGTTAAATTCTAAAATGCTATTGAGAGACACACACATAAAATTTGATTATGAATGCTAAGGAAAGTATTCCAAAATTAAGGTACTAGTGAATGAAAAAATTTAACACATATTAGGTTACATGTGAAATTTGTTGATATGAAAAACCTAGTTCTTACTAGAACTCAGTCCTTTTAAAGGATCAATATGCAACTCTCAAACATTTTTAGTAAAGAAAACTTAATTGTAAACACTGAGCTTTTCCAAGGTAGATAACTATTACAAAGTTCACTAGAAAATCAATATAGCATTTTAGTTGGAATTTGCTCATTAAACACCCACAGCTCTAATGCAAATTATGATGGAATGAATAAAGCAAATACGCATGCTTCTTTCTTTTTATTAAATGTAAAATCTACTGTTAATTGCATCTCGTATGTCATACAAACTTTTCTCCTTAACTATTAAATAGAAGCTTTAACAAAAGTCATTAGAGATTCTCTTTCTTTGACTTGAATAAATTTCAATATTTGTTCAGTAAAGGTTCACAGCAGTTAAATTACATTAACAAATATTATTAGCTACTATGTAAGCCAACCAAGTAAAATACTTATATTGTAGGTAAAACAAATCATTGGGTGTTTACAATAATATTTGGATATCTCCATTTTTAAACATGGTTATCAAATATCCTATAATTCTTAGTCAAATGAGAAAGATTCAGAGAGGATCATCCCTACCCCCACTCCCACCCCCACCAAATACTCAAATTTGTTTAGTAAGCTAATTGTTTTCTAA